TCTTATATGCTCCTGAGGTACTCCTGAGGTACTCCTGACACACTCCTGACACACTCCTGATGTACTCCTGATACACTCCTGAGGTACTCCTGACACACTCCTGATATACTCCTGATACACTCCTGATATACTCCTGAGGTACTCCTGTGTGCCCAAAATGCAAATAGAAAATAATTACTGATGTAGTCCTGATACACTCCTGTGGTACTCCTGATGTACTCCTGATACACTCCTGAGGTACTCCTGACACACTCCTGATATACTCCTGATACACTCCTGATATACTCCTGAGGTACTCCTGATACACTCCTGATACACTCCTGATACAATCCTGAGGTACTCCTGATACACTCCTGATGTACTCCTTATATGCTCCTGATACACTCCTGAGGTACTCCTGATATACTCCTGAGGTACTCCTGATATACTCCTGATATACCCCATCCTGGCTGTTCTGGCATAACAGCTGGGGGTGCCGCAAGCTACAGCACCTTTCGTGCTGTTACGCACATAAATGCCTACGGTAGAGACAGCGGAGACGGGGAGCTCGCCGCCATCGGTGAACTACGTGAGCAGTAGTAGGCAGGCAGCGATGTCCCCTCCCTCCTCCTCCTGTCACCGGCAGGAGCATCGGCGTTAGTACCACGGTTGTGGCTTGTGCCAGGACAAGGGCGCACGGCGTGCCCGCTAACAGAACGACCATCGCTCCACTTTAGGAATAAAGCACATGGAACGACACCCGTCCCGGAACTCTCCTCCGACAGATGGCAAGCAGCACTTGTCAGAAACTGTGCCCAAAATGCAAATAGAAAATAATTAGGCAGCTCGGCTGACAGGGCAACAAAGGAAGGTACCTGGTCAGCCGCGGCTACCCAGGGACCTTGCATAAACTGACAATAAAAACAGATTGATCCGTCCCAGAAGGGCGCTGGAACGAAGCCGCTCTCCGCGGGAGGGAGGGATCTGCCGCGCAGAATAAACCAGGCTCAAAAGACTGCTGCAGTCCCCAGGTCTGCTTCGTTATCCATCGTGCTTCGTTATCGTACAGCGCCTTTCACGCGAGGATTTCAGCGTACTTTGCTTATCGGGGCAAATCCACCGCCAAACAGAACTCTGAGAGGGTGAAGATTCACCGGAGATTAATGTGGGCTGTTACTGAGTCCTCAAACCACTCTTACCGGGAAGAAATAGAGGGATGATTTTATTTGTCAGGGAAATTCAGACAGAAGTTCACCAGCTTACAGAAGTGCTCTGCTGCAGTCTGGGGCCGGAGGGGAAGGAAGAGGCTCCTCCGACAGAACTCCGAGGGGAACTCAGGAAGGAAAAAATAATTACTGATGCTGAACTCCGGCCAAGCCACCAGCCACGACACTTCTGCATCCTCACAAGAACTACCATGTGATTTGTGGTGACCACAGATGGTCCGGATCCTGGTAGCGCGTCTCAGCCGAAACAGGCGATTCCAGCGTTGCAGACGTCCTCGGCGGCCGCAGCGCTGAGGCAGAGGATGGCACGGGGGCTGCGCGGTGCGCGCACACCGCTCGTCCCCTGACGTCAAGCCGTACGTTTTCAGGGCTACAGATGCAGTCGGATGACAGCTCCGGGAATCACCACACCAGTTATCCCAGTGGGTGGGGACCGGTGGCACAAGCAGCTCACGGGGAGCGGGCAGCAGCGGGCAGAGGAGCGATAGTGAACGAGTGAGCGGTGGAGGACGCTTCCCAGGGCTTTTTTCTCCAAAAAAACAACCACAAAAAGAAAGCTGGAAGACGACGACTGCAGAAGGTCGTCCCTTTGGAGAAGCCTGCCAGCCACAAAGAGAGACCTGGCATTTTGCGCTGCGTTCAAAGGCCTTGGTGAGCTCTTCCAGCCGCTCCGAGAAGCGAGGAGGCAGCTGGGGAGGACGGAGCGGGGTCCCAAGCAAGCGCGGCTGGGACTCGGGCTGTGCCAGAGCCCAGCTCCTAGCGCTCTCTTTTCCATCTCAGCAATGCAAACAAAAAAATTACTGCTGGGAACTGTGCCCCCTTT